AGCACTTTGGGAGACTGAGGCGGGCGGATCACGAGGTCAGGAGATTGAGACCATCCTGGCTAACACAGTGAAACCCCGTCTCTACTAAAAATACAAAAAACTTAGCTGGGCATGGTGGTGGGCGCCTGTAGTCTCAGCTAGTGGGGAGGCTGAGGCAGGAGAATGGCGTGAACCCGAGAGGCGGAGCTTGCAGTGAGCCGAGATCGCGCTACTGCACCCCTGCGAGGTGGTGGGTGTCCCGGGCTTCTGCCCGGCGGGGCCGTGCCAGCCGAGGCGGGGTGGGGCACGATGGGTGGTGGCCAGGTGCGGGGCCTGAAAAGGGCGGGGGCGACAAGACAGCTCCAGGGTGGGGCTGCACAGCCAGGGTCTGGGCTCGGCCACTGCCAGTCTGTGTGTTGGGAGGTGTCCCGTGGTGGGGAATTTGGTCTGAAAGAGTAGGAGGTAGTAGAAATGACAACAGAGAGAATTCACAGCGGTCCTGCTGTGATTCTGGTCACGGAAACAACGCTCCATCCTTGCAACCACCCCAACGACCTCGCAGCACAGGCGATGCGTTCCTCCGCTGCATGTGGTTTCTGTGGAACTCTTGGAGCCTCCCAGACTCTTTTGGGGGTCCACGACGGTCTTGCCCCTGTTTAGGCCTAAGGGAATCGGGGACAACGACTGGACCCTCCAGTGTTGTTGTGCTCCACACTAGTGGCCTCAGCCCAGCCTTCCTCCCCAGGGCCTCTCTGGGGACCTGCCCACCATCCTCCTGATCCCAAACAGGGTGACCCTGCTCTGTGGACCTTCCCCTGTTGGAGAAGCCCCATGAGGGTGATGGGCTGGTGAGGGACCCCATGGCAGCCTGGTCAGGGAGTATGGGGGTTCCCAGAAGCTATACTTAATTCTCACTGTTCTGCTTCATGGAGCAGAATTGGCTCAGGGGCTCAGGTTGGCCCCAGAAGTCCCTAGTCCTCTCTCAGTGCTCTCACTTGAGTCTCAGCCTAGGTCCTGCACACAAATAGGATCTCATGGGCTGGAAACTGACGACTTCCAGGACACCAGGTCAGAAGAGACTTCCAGCCTAGGCCACAAGAGACCCCCCAGCTGCCACCTGCTCCCCTTTGTCCTCCCTTCTAACCCTTCTTATTTGTGGCTCTCATATCTGAGCACTTACTGTGCATTGGACCCTATGTTGGGTGATTCCTGTCTGAAAATGACCAGATGGGGACTGGGCGCCATTGCTCACGCCTGTAATCCCAGCATTTTGGGAGGCCCAGGGGGGCGGATCACAAAGTCAGGAGATCGAGACCGTCCTGGCTAACATGGTGAAACCCCGTCTCTGCTAAAAATACAAAAAATTAGCCGGGCGTGGTAGCGGGCACCTGTAGTCCCAGCTACTGGGAAGGCTGAGGCAGGAGAATTTCTTGAACCCAGGAGGCGGAGCTTGCAGTGAGCCGAGATGGCGCCACTGCACTCCGGCCTGGACGACAGAGCAAGACTCCGTCTCAAAAAAAAAAAAAAAGAAAGAAAGAAAATGATCAGATGGGGACACGTGGAGTATCTTGTCTGTGTACAGATGAGGAAACAAAGTCAAATTGTGCCCTGCCCACGCTGGAATTCCTTAACTCTCTTCGTGAGTTCATCAGAATGCGTGGGACACAACTCAGAGCTATGCTGGTCTCCAGGGAGCCCTGTCCCAGGGACTAGGTGTTGGCAGAGCCTGAGGCCTTGCTGTCCATTGAGAAGCCTTCCTGCACAAAGGGACCCTGTCCCTTGCTCTCTGTCAGGGAAGCTTCCTTGCATAAGGGGACGCTGGAGCTGGGAGATCACATCAGGCAGGGGTCCCTGAAGGCTCTGATTGTAGGCCTCACCTTTTCCAGTGTGTGCTTCCTACCTGCTGGGTCTACTCACTGGGCCTGGAGACATTCCCTCACAAGTCTTAATCTTTGGCATGGAGAGCCAAGGCCCTTGGAGCACAGCTCTGGGAGGGTCATATGAACAGCCCTGCAAGGCTGCAGACCCGTAGTCCCAGGCTCACCACCTCCCTGCACCAACTGGGGTCCTGCCTCGCGCCAGCCCTCGCTGTAAGCAGCGCATGTGAGCCAGTGCCTGCAGAACGCTGAGGAGGTGTCTGCGTGGGGCAGGTGCTTGACAAGTTACCCCCCTGGGCTGTGCCGGCGAGTGAGCAGTTTTAGTTGGGCTGAGCACTGAGACAAGGGGGCTCCTGGAAGAAATATGGGAGGGGGCTGGGCGCGGTGGCTCAAGCCTGTAATCAATCCTAGCACTTTGGGAGACTGAGGCGGGCGGATCACGAGGTCAGGAGATTGAGACCATCCTGGCTAACACAGTGAAACCCCGTCTCTACTAAAA